GAAGAAAGTATAAAAAAGGACAATACTCATTTCCGAAAATTATTTTTGTAAAATAAACTTTCTCAAAATTTTTTTTTCCACAAATTCCTTTCTTCAGAATTTTTTTCTTCCAAAAATTTTTTTTTCAAAATTTTTTTTCATCGGAAAGTTTTTTTTTTCATCAATTTTTTCTCAAATTCCCAACCAACAATACATGGAAGGGTTAGGTTAGGTTAGGTTGAACTATTGAAGATACATAATCAATTATTTTCGGACAAGCCGGTATTAACTTGGGAATATCAACACACGATTTAAACCATACCCTATCCCTATAGCTCATAGAGCAGCGGTTCAGACGGAAATTGATAAGATGGTAAAATGGGGGATAATTCAAAGGAGTGTGTCTAGACGCGCGACATTTGAATAGTGTTATGGAGAACGATTTAGAGATGCCACGAAAAATCGAAGATATAATGAAAAATCTTAATGATGTTCAATTTATGACAAGTATAGATTTAACTCGTGCCTATTGGCAAGTGCCTATCAAACCGGAACATCGACGATATACGGGTTTTCGATTTGGTACAAAAAGTTATATTTTTAAGGTCCCACCTTATGGTTTGAAAACAGCGGTAGCTAGCTTTACACGATGTATTGACCAAAATTTAGGCCCTTATTTCAAAACTTTTGTACACGTGTAACCTGATGATTTATTGGTTACGTCAAGTTCTTTTGAGGAACACGCTAGGCATTTGTACGCTTTATTTTCATGACTGACTGAGGCTGGTTTCACTGCCAAATTGAAAAAATGTTCATTTTTCCAAGAGGAAGTGAGATTTTTGTGGTATATCTTGAATTCGTCAGGACTGCGTTCAGACCCAACGAGAATCCAAGCGATTCGGAACTTTCCCAAACCCCGAAATGTAAAAGATCTTCAGGCGTTCTTGGGTTTGGCTAATTATGATCGCTCATTTTGTGAGGATTTTTCAACTGATTCTGAGCCACTAACGAGTCTACTGCGAAAAAAGAATTAGTGGAATTGGGGACAAGCCCAAGACAAGGCATTTTTAGACATAAAAATCACTATGTCGCGTAGTTTTATTATTCCACCCTAATTACGAACAAGTTTTTTATGTACAGAGCGATGCAAGTGATGTGGCTACAGCGGCGGTTCTTTTTCAGATTATACGTGGGAAAAAACATATTATAGCTCATGCGAGTCGCTTATTGTTGGACCGGGAACGGAGATATGCTATACCAGAAAAAGAACTTCTTGAAATTTTATTCGCATTACAAAGATGGCGCGTTTACTTGTTAGGTCGCGATTTCGTTATTTATTCTTACCAAAAGGCGCTCTCGTACCTGAACTCGTGCCGTCCCTTATCGCCTCGCATCACTCGCTGGGTACTTTCTATGCAGGAGTTCTCATTCAAAGTCCAGTATATTCTAAGAAAGGACAATTTTATTCCCGACATTCTATCGTTGCCCCCTTCTCTGAGGTCACCTTCACCTCAAGATGGCTGTTTTCGGATATTGGCTATGTGCAAGTATTCCATAGGGATGATTTCGCTGATGAAAGACATGCGCGTGGCACAGCTTGAAGATTCGAGGCTGTTCCCGAAATTCGAAGAAACCGAAAAAGGAAGTTTAGGCCGTTTTTTTTGTACGTGACGGGATATTATTTATACAAAATAATGAGAGTAAGTGTATTTCCTCATCGAAAATTTCTGAGTTTATGAAGTTTTACCATGAGTTTCATGGCCATTTCAGCATATATAAAACTTGGTGTGCAATGAGGGCAGCTATCTGGATACCGCGCCTCCATAATTATATTAAACGATTCATAAAAGCGTCTGAGATTTGCTACCACTGTCACCTTGCTCAATCGTTTGACGGAGCAATATATTCCACAAGTAGGAAAACCTTCTCGAATTTTGAGTGACCAAGGGACACAAATGACCTTCCTCAAGTGGGCTGATACTCTAAAGAATTTAGGACTGAAGGTTATTTACTCCTCAGTGCGACATCCACAGGGTAATCCCGTGGAAAGAACTATGCGCGAGTTAGGAAGGCTATTGAGAACTTACTGTCACCATCAGCATACGCGATGGGCGTACTGAGATTCTGTGAGAATTTCGTAAGATTATAAAACATTCGTCCAAAATCGTACGTTTTTGACGTTTTGACATAATTATACAGGGTGGCCCACGAGGTTTTGGCCAGTCGATATCTCGAAAACTATTTGAACTACTATTTTGAATTTTTGTGGTTTTGAACAATGGAATGCGGTGACCATTTTTGGTATAAGAGGGTTTTATTGCAACATCGCATTTCCAATCACGTGATTGGCATTTTTGTTAAGACCTTTCTAATGCAAATACTACGATACCATTATTGTTAGGGTTTACATGTGAAACGGTGACAATATAAGCTGTCAAATGAATGGAAAATGGAAAATTTATTGAAGAACAACAGTATAATTAGGAAACGAAACAAAATAAGTAGAAAAAGCATTACAAAAATATCAAAAATGAACACCACATTCCACTGTTTAAAACCACCAAATTTCAAAATTTTAGTTCAAATAGTTTCCGAGATATCGACTGGCCAAAACCTCGTGAGCCACCCAGTATAACATCTATCCTATGCAATTTTGCAAAATAACAACAGAATCGTCTGTCCACAAGTGATAGGAACCTTCTCAATTCCTGTATAAGATACCAGACTATCTTCAAACATAATGAAAATCAGGAGTCTTCATATCAGCCCATACTCATTTTGGGCAGTTTAGAAATAGGAAACATATTGTAGCTGCAATTTTTTCTTTATCATTTTGACACAAAAAAGGGTTATCACCCTCACTTTTCTCAGTTTCACCCATCTATACATAAGGTAGAATAGCTAAGATTGAAGCATTTTCGTTGAAAATTAATTTATAAAAATTATAAACTTGGAAGATACTTGTTGGTTTTTAAAAAATACACTTTATTTCGAACTGAAATGTATCTTTGATCGAGACTTTGATTTTGAGTGATGTTACTTAATTTCGATGTGTTCGAATCGAAAGCTCATTCTAGTCCACTGATTCCCAGTCGTGAATATGCATTCAAGACTGTTATCTTCAGAAAATGCTGAAAATGCACCTCGCGACTTCTCTAGAGTCGCGTGGGCAGATTAATCTCATATGATTATTTCAAGCAGTGAATTATTTTATAAGTTCAAATGGAATGTCAGGATATAACATTAATGTTTCATATTGTTTGTGATTCTGCCATCACTTTGGCACCCTAGAAGTGGTTCAAAATCCACTATAAGCTGACGGTTCCACTCTTCATAACCTGGCACAAGTTTCGACTCCTGGAAAGTTGGTTCCCAACTTCGAAGTAGCGATATACATATCAACAAACTTACGAATACGAATTCAGGTTAGGTTGAATATTGAGTTGATCTAAACACAATCGAGCTAACCGATACGACAAAACGTCAAGACCGTCAAAAACGTTCGACGAAACGTCGAAATCGGTCGACAAAACGTCGAAATCGGTCGACAAAATGTTATAAACGTGAGACGAAACATTGAAAACGTGAGACGGAACGTTGAAATCGTGCGTCCAACGTTAAATACTTTACGTTACTTTACTTTTCGAATGACATATCTCGGAACGTCAAACACGTACCTCGAAAACGCGGGAAGGAAACGTCAACATGATTGTCTTAACGTTACGTTTTTCACGCTTTCATCAACTGATTACTATAGGGGGATTTAATTCCATAATTTAATATTCATGTCATACAAAATACAAATCATTTGGGACATCCTGTTCACAGTGATACAAATATTTTCATGCCATGATGAAAATACACAGAATGTATGCAATGAATCAAAACAGCTTTTATTATTGAAATGAGTCTTTGTAAAATTCATAAAATTGTAAAAATAAGCATGAAAGTTCATTTTTTCAACGACGCCACTCGATGGGACACTAGTCTTTGGTTGGCTTCAAGGATCTGGGTAACATCTATCCCGTCTATTTGGAACTCAATCTCATGTTGCTGACCAGTACGAATTTGGAAGTGACTCAAGAACTGGATAGGTATAGTCTTATCAAGTTTTCACCAAGAGTGTTCTTGAGGCGATGTATTGAGTTGGTAACGAAACCTACACATCGTTTTCTATGAGCTAAAGGACCTTGTTTAGTTGATACACATACAATATAATTAACAAAACTCACAATTAGGCAATCCAACGACCTGTCAAATAAATTCCAATATGGCGTCTCAGGGCAAACAATGAAAGTAAACAACGTTTATTTATATATGGCCGTGGCTGTGTATGGAAGTTATATAGTTTGATTTTACGACAGAAGTGTGGTTTTCGTGTCTTTTGAAGGTGTTAGTTGAGGATAAAAGCTTTGACTTTCTTTGTGAGTTTTGACTGTTTTGTTTGATAGAAAATGTCTATAACTTGTATTGTGGTTGGTTGTGGAAGCCGTTCAAACCGCGATCAATCGAGCTTTTTTGCAGTGTCAGCTATTTAAAAGAACAAATTCTTGTTGGACAAAAATGAGCTGAGTAGAAAACGAAGAGAAAGGTGGTTAGCAGCCATTAAGAAATATGATCTTACAGAGTCAAAGCTCAAATATCAGGCTGTGTGTAGCAAGCACTTTATTACAGGTGAGCTTTTAAGAGTACTAATGTACTTGTCAAATGTAGGCAACAATTATTAGCAACAATATTTATAATCCCTTCTTCAGTCTGATTCAATCATCACAGTATAAGATTTGCACGAAACCTTTCTTAATGAAAAATCAGCTATCAAAAGTTTGAACATTATTTGCACATATTCTGAGATATATTTGGAACTGTATCACAATTAGACTTCATTCTATTACTAGATATATTAACTTTAAGAGATATTTGAATATTTTCAGGCAATCCAGCAGCTTCGGAGGATGAAAAACATCTTGATTGGGTTTCATCGCAATTTATGGGACACCAGTCTAGAGCAGTTCGAAGAGAGCATGGGGATGTTGACAGAAAGGAGAGGTTGGAGAAAAGGAAAAAACTACAATTTTCTAATGTAAGTGTTTATCGAGTTGTTTATATTGTTTAGTACAAACATTTTTATAGATATTCAGAAAATAAACAAATGTGTTGATGGATTCACTTGCCTACTCCATTGCATGAGTTAGAAATCTGTATTGAAAGTAACATTTGCATAAAAAAATTGTTGATTATTTAACGTTTAGTTGAATATGTCTAAACAGTTTTTTTTTTTAATTATTGCTTGTGCCAATGTGTCACGAGCAATATTATTACAATAATTTGCAATAGTTTGATTTTGTCAACAGAAAACACATTATTTGATTGATGAAGGTACCAGTACTTGTGACCAAGAAGAGGAAGATCAGTGTCCTGGAACATCCGCTCAAACAGATTAAACCATGGACCAACTGGCTGTAAAACTCGAACAGCTAAGTTTTGCTGCCAAAAAATCTGAAGAATTAGAGAAGATAGAGAACTCACCATTCGCGAAAAATCACAAAGTGTGCGGCCTCTGGTGGCGAATTTTAGAACAGTTCTGAAGGTGATCAACAAACCAAATTTAGTATTGTCAGCATATGGTTAATACTTGTTTTGTCTGAATTTTGATTCCTTTGTGATAATTTTAGGATTTTTTTATATCTGTGAGTTAGAAATTGTTTAATTCTAAACATGCAGCCAGTTCACAACACTGTCAAAGCGAAATCCAGGAAGTTCTGTTCAGTTTCTCAATGCACTTCCTACTGTACAGATGGTATTTCTCTACACAAATTTCCTCTTCGAGATACCAAATTGTGTAAAGTTTGGATAGACATTCTGAAAATTGGGAATCCCGTTACACAAAACATGTATGTTTGTAGTGAGCACTTTGTTGGTACAGATTTTTTCAATTCTAAAGGTGGGTAGGTTAGAATTAACTGAAAGGAAAAATGTAGTTTCTGAGAACTTTATTTTCATTTCTTTGATTTCAGAACCTTCAGGAATTGAACGTAAACCACCAAAACTACTCAAAAAGACAGCAAGACCTTCAGTTATTAGAGAGTTGAAGTGCTGCCGTGAACGTAAACGTGGACACACAAATTGACATCTACGCATGCACAATCGACAGGTATTTACGTTAACGTTGAAAATAGGATTACGGGCCTCCGTAAACTCACGTTCTCTCACGGATACCTAAAAAATCAACGCACGTAAACCGAAGACAATACGAATCACACCGATGAGTTGCGAATAGCCAAATTTTCACATTTTGACTTCCAACCAAGGTAACCTAAAAAATTTGTTGTTCATAGATCAAAGGTTTCACAAATTTTATCATTTTCATCTTGTCTACATCTTTAATTGGTATTTTTGATGTATTGATATGTGTTGAGTTCATTTTTTAATTAAAATAATAAACGTTTAGAAAAGCCGTTTCCATTTTACGGAAGAATTTGATCTCCATTTGGCGAGGGAGGTATATGGGCAAAATCCCTATCAAGAACCAAAGAGATGGGCCCTAATTCAGATCAACATGATACATATTACTGGAAGAAGTGTCACCATTAGAACACTCAAAGAGAGGATTCAGAATTTGATGAAGAAGTATTCAGTCAAGGCTGAATCATTGAAAGGGAAGAGAGTACATAATTATTAAGTGAATGTAGTGATTATTCTAGACGCAAGTAGATACTTCAAGTAGTGTTTACATTAGTAGGAATCAACTTCCATCATCTCGAAAGGGAAATTCAATTTTAATAGAAAAATGTTTATTGACTTTTTTTACTTTTTACATAGATTTCCAGATACCTATGAAAGGGTTTCAGATTAATCAAAATATTCAAATCATCTTCAATTTTCCATTGCATTATGGAAATGTGAATATTATTTTTGATATCTAGATATATAGATGCCTTTCTTTGAGACAAATAATGTTGATGATTCCAGTAGATGTGAATACTGGAAGTGCCCTATGTTTCACCTTTAGAATTCAAAATTTTCAGGTCAGGAATAGAAATTTTTGTGACCGAAATCGATGACTTGCTTGAACAAATTATTATTATGGTTTCTGAGTATCAGAAGAAGAAAATATCATGTCCTACAACTACTACTATGCATCCAAATGCTGTTGCAAGCAAATCATCTTACCAAGAAGGGTTTCATGCCAGAGAGAAAGCATGTGTAACTTTACTGGGAACTGACTTGACAAATAATAGTGAGACTGAGAGTAAGATAATTCAAGCAATGAATGTTCAACTATATCAATAAACCCAGCTATCACAAAATATCAGAGAACATGACATTAATGTAGAAATGTATCCTACTGAAATATTTGGACTGATATTCCGAACCGTTTTAGTCATTTTATGAATCACATGAATTGATTCATGCCATAGGTACATATCCTCAGACATGAATGCAATATTGTATGAGTGTCTCTATGAAGTGAGGGGGCTTCACGAAATAATTTACATATTTGGCTCAAATCAAACAGAATAAGACAAATATTGGGAATATTTTGTGGAATAAAAGGGGACCCCTGTGATTAATTCTTGTGATTTATTGCTTTGTGACCTTGTCAGACATGAATACAATATCTCAAAGATGTTTGTGACAGTTTGTGCTAACTGCAAATTTTACATTGTTAATTTCCTCTTTCGTATCAACTTTTTGAGAATTTTGTTGAAATGTTGCTATACTTGATATAATCACAATTACAATTTTTAGGCCCTGCTATATCACAAGGAAGTTCCCTCCAGGTTGAACCTCTTCAATATGATTTTGAATCTGATGACATACAAGATTTCGTAGTAATTGGAAATGATTATGAAACTCTACCAACAAAAGAACAGGAAATTATTGCAACACCTACAGGAAAAAAAAATCAACCAGAAACAGTTATAAAAAGAAAGTCTTCGGCTCAGGCAAATATAATGGGTAAGAATGCATAAATTTTGAGTATACTGAAAATTAAAAAAATATTTAAACACCCAATTTCATAACAATAAGTTGTTACTAAAAATAATAAAGAATCAATTCATTTCAGCTCCAAAGCGCAGAAAATGCAATTCATATTTGAAACAAGATACTGTGAAATATTTGGAAAAAAAAAGTGAAAAACAATATGAATTGAAATATAAAGAACTTGGACTTCAAGAAAGAAAACAGTTATTAGAAGAAAATGAGTTTGAAATGGATAGGATCGAAAGACAGAAAAGGTTAGAAATCGAAGAAAGAAGGCTGGAAATGGAAGAAAAAAGGTGGAAAGTTGAGATGGATCTCTTTGCTAACCAGCAAGAATTGATCAAGATATTATTCAATAAGAATAAGTAATACTGAACACACTTCGAATGTCAAATCTGATCTCATATTGACTGCAGTGATATGTAACTACCTACCTAGTAGAAATCTGTGATTTTGAAGCTCTCAAAAGAGTTTCTTCAGTTTTTTCAATTAGAGTACCTTTATTTTTTTGTAATTACATTATATTTAGTTAGGAGATTTCTGTAGAAGTTACCAAATATTTGTTTTGTTCAATTTAAAGAAATGACTGAAACTCCACTACTTTGTGATTCATTTACCTAATAAAAAAATCATCAGAACTTTCAATGTCCTAAATATTCTTCCAGCTTCCATATAAACAGGTATGGCAATTTGTCAATATCATGCATGTAATGTACATTGTACCAATTTCTTGCAATAAAAGCTTCTGGTTCTTCTTGAAATCCACAAAGGCCAATTCCTGAATAATTTTATGGAAACCCCATTCTACAGCAATTCTTAAACTGCTCATGATTGTATTGAAAATTTGCCTTCCTGAGTGTCCCAGTACCTCTAATTCAGTGTATGGCCTCAAAAGTAATTCCCTTAAGCCATAGCCTTTATCCCCATAAATAACATAATTTCGATTTCCAAATGTTGTGTGCTGTAAAAGTTCCTCATATAGGCCCGACTCCCTTAGCATGCCTGCATCATGTCGTCGACCGGGATAAGCACCCTTTAGACTGATAACAATGTCATCAGGGCATAAAAGTGATTGGTATTTCACACAATGCACCTTTTTGTAACCCGAGTAATACTCCACTTGATTATCAGTTGGTCTACAAATTGGCCTAATAGTGCCATCTATGAAGCCCTAACAGTTGTTCATAGGAGCCCCTTTTTCCATAATTGCCTGAAACTGATGATTGAATCAGATTAAAATCAGAGTATGATTATTAATGAAGGAAATTGTTGTAATGGCTATATGGATATACATATATATTTAGTGGAAGGGTACTGGATTATTGAAAAAAAAACTCAATTCAGGAAAACAGCAAAACAGATATTTTCCTTGAGGTCGCATTGTAAGGAAATGACCATTACTGGTTTTATATATATTTATTCCAAATTCAATTTGATAAAGTGATAGAGATGAGAAGTATCCCAAAAAATATAAGGAAAAATATTCACCATTGAAAAATTCGACTTTTTGAATCCACATTTTCAAGAAAATAAAAATACCAAAATATGTTTTTGAGTATGTTTTGATATATTTTCTTGAAAGGAAGGAAGACAGTGAATAGGGGGATTTACTTTTCTCAGAATAATGTTGAGAATATAATTGAATAATATTTGTAGGAAAATGAGAATATAGTTTGACATCTGCCCTCCTGAAGTAGAAATATTGTTTATAAGGTTTAATTCTGATATAATCACATTTTTAGAATAATTAGTTTACAAAACCACCTGTAGTTAACAATATCATTCTTATAACTATCTATATACACACCTCTGAATATGCTCTCAATCTACCTTCATTTAACCATGGCATATTCCCAAGATTTTCCAGTAAATTGCTTTCATTATTGCATATAACTATATCCAAAAATGCATTCCAAATCCACTAGGCGATTTGGGTATGCAAACCTTCTCAAAAGTATGCATAAAGCATCCACACCTACAATATGAAGATGTTAAAACTTTGTTATTAAAACACTACACTATTTTACCACTAACCAAACCGATTTTTTAACGCCTCGACACGTGTTTCGCTAACTATGTTAGCATCTTCAGGAGAAGATTAAAACTGTTTTAATGTGCAGTTGTTGGTGTGGCTGGAGGTGACTGTGGCGTTGACTGCGTGGCTGGAGGTGACTGTGGCGTTGACTGCGTGGCTGGAGGTGACTGTGGCGTTGACTGCGTGGCTGGAGGTGACTGTGGCGTTGACTGCGTGGCTGGAGGTGACTGTGGAGTTGACTGGGCGGCTGGAGATGCTTCACTTTCAATTTCCTGTAACAATTAATATTGTTTTAGTTCCCACGCTCGGAAGACGAATGGAAGGATGTGGCCGAAGTGTTCGAAAAGAGATGGAACTTTCCGCATTGTCTAGGCGCGATGGATGGAAAGCATATAGCAATTTCGCTTCCGGATGGATGTGGCTCAGAGTATTTCAACTATAAAAACCATCATAGCATGGTGTTATTGGCAATCGTTGATGGAAATTATCGATTTCTTTTATGTGATTTTGGAACAAATGGAAGAATTTCCGATGGTGGCGTACTCACAAACACTAAGTTTTTTGAAAAACTTGATACTTATCAGTTGTGTATTCCAACCGACACAGTTGTCGCAAATAGCACTAGAAAGTTGCCGTATGTGTTTGTGGCTGACGATGTGTTTCCACTTAGAACAGATTTAATTAAGCCATTTAGACAAGCAGATTTGACCACAACCAAAACCAGAATTCTAAATTACCGCGTATCACGAGCAAGGCGCATTGTCGAAAATGCGTTTGGGATCTTGGCATCCCGATTTAGAATTTTTCACACAAAAATTAGTATTGATCCGAAAAAAATAGAGTCTGTCGTGATGGCCAGTTGTGCTTTACATAATTATTTAATGAAGACTTCCGGAAGTTCTTACTGTCCACAAGAATGCTTCGACGTAGAACATGTCGATGACGGGTCAATAACCCAAGGATATGATACAATGAATTCAGCGATAGTTAATTTGCAACGAAGAAATCTTGGTAATACTGCGATTGCCGCAAAACAAGTCCGAAAGAGTACATGGAATATTTTGCAAGCGAAGGCAGCGTTCGGTGGCAAAATTATTTTATACATTAACTCTTTGAGAATAAACGATGTGATAAAAAAGTTATTTACGTTAATTTCTTATTTATTCATGTAATAATATAAAGAACTCGTTGTCTTACCGTTGTCTGTGGATTCGTCGTCCATATTCAAACGTGAACGTCTTGGTTCTTCTTGGTCATCCAAAAACAGCAACATAGAGTAATACCATAGTTTTGGTTTATACACTTCTTGGGTTCCTGCTTCTGATTTTTTTGAATCAGCGATCTTCTTACGCTCTTTTTTGTAAGTAGAGCGAATGTTGTTTATTTTTTTCACAACCGCATCTTTGTCAGCCCTTGGGTCTATTGTTTTCAATTTTTCAACCAGCTTAGTATATGCTGCACGTTTTAAGTCACGATTGTGATTCTCTTTGCCTTTAATATTCCAGAGACAAGGTTCACTGCGATATAACTCAATAAATTCTTCCAGCCATTCTCGATTAGTTTGAGACGCCATGTCGCGTGCGCACGTCTACCCGAATGTTGATCGACCACCAAACTGAACACGAAAACGGAAACACGAGCGCATACACGTTTCGATCAGTCGGCACAGTTTGTCCGATTCCGATAAATCAATTGAAATTTTGGTATTGTTCCGTTCGACTGTACAGTCTCAACAAATCGTGTGAAACTGCACAGTTTTATCACATACATATACCGATTTATCGGCACCGTTCGAACTGTACAGTCTGATCGTAACGATTTCTCGTAGCGTATATGGCCACCATAACATCCCTAAGTCATCATTTGTAACAGTTAGGAGTGAACGCAGAAAGTAAGTTCCTACCTACAGGATATTTATAATTCATATGGCATGCTAATGTACTTACTGTGATTTTTCAAGGTTGAAGAAACATGATGATATTCACAAGGAGGAATCAGAAATGCAATGTGAAAATTTAGAAAATCAAAGAGATAATGAACCAACAGAGCCAATGGAGCAAAATTCAGAGAATCAAAGAGTTCAAAATGATAACGAACTAATAGAACCAATGGAGCAATTTGTTGAAAATAATGGTGACGTGGAGCTGGATCAACTTGAAAATCAGATTCAGCCTGTGACATTGAATAATGTGTTGGTTGAGACTACTGAATATATATTTCAACCACCTCAGATACTGAATACAGATGAAAAATTGAGAAAGTCCACAGGTGAATGCAATATGATTTCAAAATATTAAGATAAAGTTAATGAATTTTGTAGTTATAGGTAGTGTGGATTGTGGCATCTGCAAAATAATTTAATTATTTTTCACAGGTGTGGGTTATACCATTTTGAAAGCTTATACAAAATGTGTGGAAGATGTAGCATCAGCAGAAGATCTTAACATCTCCAATATAGAATTAAGCATAATGTTGGTTTTATGTAAATTAAAAACCAATCTTTCATTTGCTTGTCTAGCTCTCCTTTTTGGCATAAGAAATTCCGTGTACACAAGAATATTCTACCCAACTGTTAACCTCCTGGCAGTGAGTATCAAACCAGTCATTTATTGGCCAACCAGAGAAGAAATTTCAAAGAACCTCCCTAAATGTTTTAATAAATTCAAAAATACCAGAGTAGTATTAGACTGCACAGAAGTCAAAGTGCAAAAATTAAAATGCTTGAATTGTCGCATATTGTCATACTCACATTACAAGAGGTCACATACTGTCAAATTTCTCATTGGAGTTACCCCATCTGGATTAATCAAGGGTATGGAGGTCGTGCTACTGACAAGGCAATTTTTAATAGGGAAAATCTCATTGAAAAGTTTGAACCCAAAGATGGAATTATGGTGGATTAGGGGGTTCCTATTGATACTGAATGTGAGCAAAATTTTATCAAATTGATAAGGCCACCATTCCTCAGGAAGAAGAAGCAGTTGACTAAGGAGGATGCTAGATTAACTGCAGACATTACTAGGGCAAGAGTGCATGTTGAACGGGCTATCGAAAAAATTAAATTTTTTTCTATTGTGAATGATCAAATAGATTGGTACTTAATCCTTTATATTGATGACATTATAACAATTGTTGCTGCAACATTGATATGAAAGCTCCAATATTAGCTGATGATGAATTTTGAAATATTTAATGCTGCTAGGACTTCTGAAAAATAATATATTTTGGTTACAAGGAAGTGGTTGTTTTTATATTGAAATTGGTATTCTCTTCAGAAATATGCCTTGCCTCTTCAATTATCTCCAATATTATTGAATGCACCACTTTTATTTCCTACTTCTTCTATTCTTATCTCATATTCCCATCATTTATCTTTTTTTTTCTTCTGAGTATCCCAATTACAAAAATAAAACTTCATTATGAATTCTGGTGCATTATGAAGAATATATTTGATCACTCATTTTAGGGAAACAAAGTTTCATATTTCAAACGTTTATTTTTTCTGAAATGTACAGACTTGAGCATGTTTTCATCCAATATAATAATTAAAAATTCTTCCCATTTATTCATACAATAATGATGCAAAATTCTGTTGAAATATTTTTCTGATATTGTTTTAAGCAAATCTCTGGAAAATGTTTCATCAAACCTTACCATTACCTCTGAATAGCTACCAGAAAAAGGAGAGTATACTATGAGATGAGTTATTTTTAAATTTAATAGAGTCATTCCCAACTGAACTTGGCCATAATATTTATGTTTAACTTTTAATTGAACTCCAGAACCATCATTTTTCAAGAAATCGCACAATTCTACACATTTTTCAGAACCATTTGCTTTGGCTGAAAATTTGATAGAATAATGAATTGGAGATGAAATTCATTATACTTTGTACAAACCTGAATAGGGACACTTTACTTCCAGTAATCTCGATGGTTTTCCCTCATGAAAAAATATTCCATCTGGGCAAAATCCTAGCCAAGGAAAATATTCAGAAACAATTAAATTAGGATGCAAAATTTCACAAGTTTCACTTTTCCTCTTGAATAATTTGATTGCTTCTGATTCAAACAATTTTAGAACAATTTTTTAGAATAACAATTTGAACCTAAAATAATAAGTAACATGTAATTTGTCAATAAACTGACTTACCAGTGATTCTGAGTTGTCTTTCTTCTTTCCATTTATCAGATCCCTGTGGATAATCAATGGCCACCTTCATTATATCAGTTTCCTTAAGAGACTCTAAAACTGCCTTGCAGCATGATTCCAACGGGGTACTGTTACAATTGATTTCTTCTGATATGTCTCTGAGAAATTGGCTTGCTTCTGAATTTTTAATTATTGTTTCCATAAATACAGTTGATGGGGACCTGAAATATAAGGAAAGAACACAGAAAATGAAAAAAAAACATAATGAAGTGGAGCAGATATGCTTTCGATTGCAAGAGGCCGATTTGCCTGTAAATGTGAATTATACAACCTGTTCTTGCTAGGAGAAAGATGATTTTCTATTGACATCTCAGTATTATTTGTACTTGTAGATGCTGCATGAACTTGAATAGTTGTATTTCCTAATGAATCTTCAGTTTCTTCATGACCTGGTGGTGTTGTTCCAATTGTTCTACCTATAAATTTTGAAATGCTAGAATCCCCAGAGGCTGAAAATGATTTAAAAATATGTTAAGATCTCTAACAGAAAACTCACAACACTAGTGAACATGGAACAAACATACAAACTATGAACATCTCAGTTTCTTTGGAAAATTGTGAGAAAGCCTTTGATGAAAAAGACTTTGACTTTTTGTATGTCATATAGGTAAGTAATTGAAATTTCAATAGAAATACATTTAAGAAGTCCAAGACATGACATGTCCACAGTTTATAAACACCACAATATATATTGCAGTATAGTGTAAGTATTTTGAGTGTACAACTTGCCTACTGAGAGTAAATTGAAATTTTTCCTATTCAAAGCCTCACTGGGCTGGAAAGTTATTTCTTTTCTTTCAATGATAGGATGACCAAACTCATTGAATGGTTTTGGTTGGTACACATCTTCCACCCCTTTCTTTTCTTTTCCCCACTTCTGGGTTAAATCAGTACAACTGACATACTGACATATTCCAAGTCTTCATTCCTGAAATATTAAAAGATCTTTTCTGATCTATGTTACATCGCACATGCACTAACTTGTTAATATGAATAAGGGTCCCAATTATATGTTTACAAAATCCGGACATCCCTGCATTACAAGAACACTGGCATTTCCATGATTCATTTCCATTTGGTATAATTAGTATTTCATGTGGAGGCTGTGTAAGAGCTGAAGTTTGTAAACACAAGCTCTTTATCATATGTGTTTTTTCCACATCTACCCCACACATTATGATGTGTCCAGCTTTGTAGACAGCTTCTCATTCCTTCAAAGGTCTCATTTTATCATCAATATACTCAATATTATTCAATAATTTTCGAAAATATACTAAAAAATAAAAATCAGCGGTGTAAAAAGTAAGTGCTGGGAGCATGTGAATCGGTAAACATCATTGAAGAATATATTTCCGTCACAAGTACCTCAGCTCAAGTGCCTTTAATCAGTTAAACCTTACCCTCATAAAATTACGATTGGATTCACATTTCAAAGATTTGGCATATCATTTCAAAATATCGCCAAGTACTGCCTCTAGTTATTTCGAAACCATAATACACATAATTCATAGTAGATTTCGATCTCTGATCTATTGGCCTGAACGTTCACTAATAAGAAAAAATTTACCTGCTTGTTTTAAAGAAGTTTTTCATGAAAAAACAACAGTAATTAAGGATTGGTATCACACCCCAAGGTTTAATATGTTATATTAGTAATGCATGGGGAGGGAGGGCTCCTGATTAACAAGTTGTGGAAAATTAAAATTTTTCAAAATATATTTCACCAGGGGACATTGTATCAGCTGATAGAGGTTTTCTAACTAAAGAGCCTTTGGCTGTACTTCAAGCCAAATTATTGATTCCCGCATTCACAAAGGGTAAGAATCAGTTGGATCCGATAGATCTGGAAGAAACACGACAATTAGCACATGTAAGAATACATATTGAAAGAGTTATTGGAGTCATAAAAAATATATTCCATATTTTGAATGGTACTATTCCAATAAGTATGTTGAAAAAAAATTATGGTGATGGAGAACATAATTTACTGGACAAGATTCTTATATCCTGCTGTGCACTGTGTCTCAATTAGTTTATCAGCACTTTTAGATAATATTGTTCATATCTATTAGTTTTCTAAGAGTTTTGTCAAATAATACATTTATATTCTATAAACATTTTTGAATATACTGTATTATTATTTTTAAAGAATGTGTTGCTGTACTATACAGGGTGATTAATCAAGAATAGACAATCTCTGAACTACAGATAGTAAACTCCTAAATATAAAGATATAGCCCAGCATAATTTTTCTCAGATACTTTGAGTCTTGAATCAAAATTTTGTTAGTTGTTGGTGTTATTAGTGATTGTCATCATCAAATACTGTCATTTTTCTGTGTCTCTTCACAAAAATTATGATTTAACTTTTCTTCTCAAGAGCTTATAACCCAAAAACTTTTGAGCTAGACAATTTGAAAATAGTACATTTTTTATTGAAAAATATACAGGCTTTTCGATTTTCAAAGTATTTCAACCATTATTCAATGGATAAAGGAGATATGTAATATGCTGAAGTAACAGAGTGCCACTAGCACCCTCTATGAGCAATCACAAAATAAGTTACAAATTCGTATTTTTCATATTGAGAAACCTGATACTATCAAACTTTTTATTGGGGTATTTCAAAATGAAATCTTCCCCAAAATTACCAAAATTTGTATAAGACATGTTGGGCTAAAACCTAATATTTTGGTGTTTACTATCATGTATTTCAGAACAAATGTAAGTATTAAAACAAATTTGTTTCATTCAGAAAACCTTTATTTGAAATTATATAGTCATTATTGCTTTGGAGCAATGGTTACAATACCAAGGTTCAGTAGGAATACTGTCTTAATTCATACATTCAAAATGAAACCATTTTATATCACAATCATCTTGATCGCATTGATTCATAGGCCTGTCATCATCAATTCCATTACAAATACAATAGTGGCATATTTCTGCAGCACCCATTTCCTTTGTAAAGAATTCACCCAAGAGTTCTGGCATTATGAATTCATAGTGGTATTTGATTGCAATTTCTGAATCTTTATGCCAATACTCCCAATTTGGATAAATTCTTTGTTTGAAAAATATACGGGGAGACCACACTACGAAATCACAATACAACAAATTTGATACGAATATTTGCATTTGCACTTGATAATATTAAGCATGATCAGTTTTCAAAAGAATTTGTCCATTATCTTTGTGAAGGCATGAACTTTTCAGTTCGAGGTAATCATTGATATATGTTTTTTAATAAATAAGGGCATTTCACTTCCAAACACCTTCCCATACAACACTCACAAAACACCATTCTGTCAGGTGATGCACCTAGCTGAGGCCACTATTGACTTTCTGAAAAGACCACCTCATTTATCACCAATGACTGGTGTGTTTCTTCTTCCTCCATATATTTTTCATATCTTTTAACAGCAACGTGTTCAAGAAGTAATCCCCAAATTGTTGCTTTTGTGCTAAATAACACTTTTGTTGGATAACAAATTGCCTTAAGTAGAGACAAAGATGTTCTGATTTTATTCGTCCTGCAAACTAATTTGAATTTGGATGCAGTGATTCTGCCAGCTCTTTGGGCATACCAGTTTCTATTTTCACTCTGGTGCCTAGAAGCCTTTTCTATTTCCAAAATGTCTTCCATTGTAACAGAAAAATCTATCCCTTTGGCAATTGAAATTAACTCGGAATATGATTTTGTTACATTTACCTCATCAAAAATATCGTACTTGGATATGGTACTCTTGAGGATTTTCTTCCTTTCTTCGAAAGGATCAATTACATACATAAGTGGTGTCATACGATCTGAATCAGAGCATTTTTTCAATAAATTGCCCACTTCCGTAGCTGTTAATGCTGATATCTCCGTCCTATCTTGTTTGATATTGGAGCATTTACCCCAATCCATATCAGACACAGGAACAACAGGAACCTTTGTAGATAATGTTGGCATGGGCCATACTGCCTGCAGATCGGTACAAGACATTGCTTCCTTTCTATTATTCGCATACTCAGCTGCAAAAAGAACTGTTCCAACGTGACTACACCCTTTACCAGTCCCAGCCATACAGGTACAATGTGCTGTAGAAATTGAAGAAGAAGTTAAAAAAATATTGATAACAAAACGAAGACTTGCTAAAGGATCAATTATGAAATTTACAACTGAAACATCACCTTGCCTGCTAAAACCAAAACTCCTTTGATAACAGTAGTCCCCACTTCCAACACAAAGCCAGAATCAAAATATTTGTAAGCTTGTAAACTTTTGAAAGCCTTCATCTGCTCTTTAGTGTAAAAACTATGAGAAAACACCAAATAACTAATGATATCCATGTTGGTTACTGGAGGAAATCCATCAAGGGTATAGTTTAGGGTGTCCAATGTCCATGTCTAATGTAAATGGATCTAAACCATTTACTAACTTCATTTTCATTCGATATCTGCAAAAAAAAGCATTAATGAGTGAGCAAATCATTTTGCAAACTTTGTATCATTACCTTTCAACAATATCGGGATTTTCTTGTAATAACTTCTTCAAATAACTGCTCTCCATCTCAAAATAGTCCACACATCTCAACAAACGCTCACAAATTCCACAAAAAACGATCTAAACAAACTTCAAACACTTACGACGCAATGGTTTTCTACCTGGACTGTCAGAAATTTTTGCCCTAGACGGCCATATTGGGTCACGTGGTTTGGATTGCCTAATTACTAATGTAGGTTAGATTGAATATTTGATTGGTCCAAACACAACTTAGCCCCCCAAGGCCAGACTGATAGTACGAAACGTCGAAAACGTTTGACGTAACGTTGGAAACATTTGAGAAAACATCAAAAACATTCATGAAACTTCGGAAACGTTCGACAGAACATCGAGGACGTTCGACGAAACGTCGGAAACAATCAACGAAACGTCACATTCGTGCGTCGGTCTGGACACATCCGATTCACGATGGGTTAGACAGGCAGAACGTTCATACACTTGACTCATTTGTAGGACGTTGAAAACGTTCATGGAATCATCAAAAATTTGTGTGAAGACGTCAGTAACGTGCATTGTGCTGCCATCTATGTGATATATCCTCACTAACATATCAAATTGTTTGATTGACCAAAGAATATCCTGAAGCCTCAGAGTCCCAAGAATTCGAACAGGATGGGCTAGAGAGTAGGCTGACATCATTGGCTGGGTTTGATGCTATATCGATCTGGACTATCCAAGCTTGGATAGGTTAGATCTATTTTTCATTTTGGTGGGGTGTTTGTATGTTTGTCGGACGAGTCATTCAATGTATTTTCTCAAATTGGTCGCTCTCAAAGTGCCGCTAAGACGTGAAGAAATATAGAACACTTTCCAGTTTGTGACGCAAATACGTATGGATTATTCCTGTCAACGCCTGCTGTATTTCTGTACTTCATCATCATCATTTTCATGCTAGAGAACTTCAGAGTTCGTATCAATGGCTTGCGCAGTTTGTAGATCTTTTATTTCTGCGCTATGTAGTTCACCTGGGCTACGCCTATTGAATATGAGGACAGATATTAGAGTTCTCTCAGGCATCAAAATCGTATTCAGTTACCAGTTCTTCGTAAAGTTTGTCCCTACTTTGATCTACATATTTGGTTGAAGTCACAAAATCTTACATGTTCGGCAACACAACAGTCTTATTTCTCTAGTGAGCCAGCCTACTCTCATGGGCTGTTTTGTTAACTTCTCCAGGCATCAAAGTATTGATCAGATCTATCAAATGTTTTGCGTCTTTTGTATCTTTTGTCTTTTTCAATGTTTGATACACTCTGAAATAACATGATAATAGATTCCAAACTAGTAACGGTGAGTAGTTAAACAATGCGGTTTGTAGGGAATTTTGGCAGTTGGCCCGCCTAATGGAAACCTATTACATTCATTATGACGTATAACGTTCAGTTCACTTAATAATTTTATTTAATTGAAAAAAGATAATCATACCGTATAGGATTTGAACTTTGGATCTCTGGGTTGGCAAGCCGACACGTTACCAAGTGGCTATGGGGGGTCCATTTTATCAACGTGCAAGTGTAGGTACGACTCAACTTGTCCCCCTGTTTTCGAGAGATATTTTTTGGAGGTCCATGAGTATGGATTTTCGACATATGGATGGGTATATGGATATTTGGGGGGTTCATTTTGCTTCATTGGGCCAATATGAGCAATTTAAATAAATATATCAGGCTTATGAATGAGTTTCAGTAAATATTTCTATGTTCTACATAGATTTGATTTTACGGTACTGCTAGTGTCCTCACTCGGATGTGAGTGGAAACTGTTTGCTATGCTTACCTTCTCCTATTACAGAGGTCTTTTTGAAGAATCCACTCGTATGTGTTACGCTTCAACCTAATTCCGCGAGGTGTCGCTACTGATACTGTTTTCCAAGGTTTGTAGAACTGATGATTATTCTGTGTTTTCAATATTTAATATGTTTTGCTAGTCTATATGGCCGTTTTTTGTGTTCCTAGAGTACCTAATTAAGCGAGGTGTTGCTACTGATACTGGTTTCAATATTTTCCGTTCTTCAAACCTGCCTTTGATTTCACCGTACCGCTGGGGTCCTCATTCGGGCGTGAGTGGAAACTTTTTTCTACGTCTACCTTTCACAGAGGTCTTTTTGAAGAATCTATTCATATGGTTCACGCTTCAACCTAATCCTGCGAGGTGTCGCTACTGATACTGTTTTCAATATTTAATATGTTTTGTTAGTGTATATGGCCGTTTTTGTGTTCCTAGAGTACCTAATTAAGTGAGATGTCACTACTGATACTGTTTTCAATATTTCCGTTCTTCAAACCTACCTTTGATTCCACCGTACCGCTGGGGTCCTCATTCGGGCGTGAGTGGAAACTTTTTTCTGTGTCTAACTTTCACAGAGGTCTTTTTGAAGAATCTATTCGTATGGTTCACGCTTCAACCTAATTCCGCGAGGTGTCGTTACTGGTACTGTTTTCAATATTTAATATGTTTTGCTAGTCTATATGGCTGTTTTTGTGTTCCTAGAGTATTCCTTTTCATAAAATAAGTATATGTTACTCCCAAAACATTGAAAAACGCACATTAAACACAAAAAAACGGACCACAAAGCGTTCTGGATGGCGCCAAAAGACAAAATATGGAAATGATATAATGTTTCGCTTTGTGTACCTACGTTCTTCTTGGAAAATTAGGTATTCTGAAGTCCGATGTACCTATATTCTTTGAAAGTTCCAATTCCCCAATGTTATCGATGAAATATAACATTCAGGTACCAGTACGTATAGGTATATCAAAAATGAATAAATAATTGACTTATGCAATGGAAATTAATGAATCTATTGCATCAGCTATACATAAAAGGTTAACATGCACCAGGAAATTGAAATGGAAACATTTTTTTCAAAATAAGTGAATGTATATGCAACGGAGAACTATTTATATAAGGTGAAATTCAGTTCGAGAAGTACACAGTTAGTTGAAAACACAGTGAATTTATATACCAAAGAAGAAGAAGAAGCAAATAACGAATTTGGGGTGAGTGTTTCATTATCATTATTGACTTTGAAAATTTTGATGGAGCTAGATTGAGATAAGTGAATTATTTTTTTAGGTGAGAAATACATGAAATATTCTCTCTAATAGAAATCTTTAATATTGAATGAGAAAAATGAATACTGTTGACGAAAAAATGGTAATATAATCTTGTGCGTGGGTGTCTCTTCACTTTTGAATTATTTTATTTATATTTTAAGGTTCTAAAAGTGATGAAAACTAATCAAGCTGCTTATATACCAACAAGAGCTACTCTTGGATCTGCTGGTTGTGACTTAAGAACACCTACAGATTTCACTATACCTGCTAGAGCGCGATTACTCGTAGACATTTTTTTAAAAATACAACTCCCCCAAGAAGTGTACGGACGGATTGCACCCAGATCCGGATTAGCGTTAAAATTTGGCATAGATATTCTAGCTGGCGTTATAGATAATGATTATACAGGGTCAATTAAAATTCTGCTATATAATTCATCATCTGAAAAAGTTGATTTCAAAAGAGGGGATAAAATAGCTCAATTGATATGTGAACGATATTCTATTCCAATTATTGAGGAGGTTAATTTTTTGCATGCTACTGAAAGAGGGGAAAGAGGCTTTGGTTCGTCTGACATTCTGCTAAATGATTGTCAATGATGAAAATAATCTCAGTTTCGAATAGTACCTCACAGAGTAAAGATAAATATCTTTCATTGAAAAAAATATGACTTCATTGAAATCAAATTTCATAATTTTGACAGCTATTGTAAATGGTATAATATATACAAATGTACCCAAAGAAGCTCAATATATTGCTATATGTTTCGATATGAAAAATACGAAACTGGATTGCAATAGATCATCGTGGAAAGTGTTGAGCTCATCCAAGGAAAATTATGGTGAATTACCCGTTTTCAGCATAAAAATTCCAGAAGCGAACGCCACTCATTTGAACTATAAATTGAAGATAATATTTTTTGATCATTCTGAAGCAGATCAATGCCAATGGCAAACTATTCATTTCAATGAAACAAAACAAAATGGAAGTACTATGCAAGAAGGAACACACAGAATGTATTTAATATTATATATAACCTTAGTTTTGGTAATTTCAATATTTCTAATGCTTTTATTCAAAATGGTAGTGTCAAAGTATGATGCCTTTCAGTCGATACCTAATAATTAATCAATTTCATGGTTATTAATTGAGAAATCTTGATTTTTTTCAAATCTTTGAATAAAAAATATATGTATTATTGAAGTGATTGTTTGATTCAACCTTGAGAGAAAAAAAAATAGCCCCCCACACCTTCTTCTGATTATTTAAATAAAACCGTGAGAGGAAAAAAATATAGTATCAGACGAAATGAATGTATTCAAAGACAAAGAAGATATATTTTTGGGTGAACGTAGATTTTATTTGAACCCTAATTATTCAAA